TTGCGCAGAAGCAGTGTTGTTGATGCCTGATACCTTAGCACGTATTCTCTTTGAAGGCAGGTTGATTTTTCGTTTAAGGCTTTCTGTTATGAAAGAGGCTTCTGAAGCGGAATCTATTAATGCGCGGGCCGAAAAGTTAGTATTATTGAAATTTATATTGACACACGCTGTTCCTAATAGAACCCCTTTCCTCGAATTAGCAAAGCAAGATTGAATGTTATCTGCTGAATAATTACTTGCATTGGCGTCACGCCTTGCTTGAGCTTGCGTAGACGTAGATGCGCTTTCATTTGTGTGATTCGACGGATTAGTTGGAGTAGTTTCTTTTGGTTGAACTGCTTGAACATGAAGTGATGTATGGTGCCTCAGGTGACAGGTTCTGCAATTGAAGGAGCTACTGCACCTTGACACCGTATGTCTGGAGGATAGCTGTGAATGCTTTTAACGAAAGCGATTCTATCTTCTGCTGTTAGCTTAAGGAATTTTTGGCACCTTTGTAATTTGTGCTCATTGCTTTGGCAAAATTTGCAAAATATCTCGGCTGCACTCGTTTGGTACGACTTAAATCTTTTTTGTAGAGTTTCGTTTATATGCCTACTATTGTTAGGCTCTGCAGTGGGGTTAGGTTTAATGTCTCTTATATCTGAAACGGTTTCTAGAGTTTGAAACCGTTGTGAAAGAAAGTTATCCATGTCCTCCCACTTGGATATTTCAGTTTTGCTTTCAATACTTTGCTCCCACAACGCTAATGTAGTTTCTGGTAACTTCGTTGAGCAGAGATATGTAATGATTGCATCCCAGTTTGATGTGTCAATCTGTTGACACTGTAATGTCGAGATGCAATTATTAATATCTCGCTGTAATTGTTTGATGGAGCTACCGCACTCGCTATATACCGCCTGTAAGTTGAACAGAATCTTTAATTGGGCATTTACGAGGATACGTTTATTTTCGTATCTATCACTCAAATTTTTCCAGGCAGTTTGAAAGCCATGGACAATTACTCACTATCTCTCTGGCCTCCCCCTCTGTTTTTTGGTTTAGGTGGAACAATTTGTTCACAGGAGTGAGGCGCTTGTTGAGTATGTATATGGCCGTAAACATATCCCGGAACGTAGGCCATGTGAGATAGTCGCCTTTGAATACGTCCGTATCGCACGGAGGAAGTTGAATATTATGTTCTCGGGCGGACATATCCTCTACATTTTTGTCATTCTTTACTAGCTTTGCATGGAGTTCTACCATGTTTGACATGCAGCGCAGGTATACAGCATACGAACTTTTGTACTTAGGTTTCACAGTGGCGACTCCAGTGGCGTCTAACCTATCGGAATGTACTAGTTCCTCATACGCTGTCTTTACCTTCCTCCATATGGCTTTAAGTTCCTCTTGCTGAATAGCAAGAGTGTATTTAGTGTGATCAGTTTGGGCCGTGTCATTGTAGTCGGCCTCAAACTCGGTCACAGCGTCTGCCAGTCGAATAAATTTATCCATACTTTCTTTGTTTTAGTGGAGAAAACCCAAGACGAATTGAAAACTTAACTACGTTTTCGAGTGTTATAAACAAAGCTAAGAATCACCACAATCGAAAGATTATAGCTACAGAATTTAAGCGATCGTATAAATTTATTTATTTATTTTTGTTTGTATGCGCGTGTGTATACGTATGTATTTGCACTTATATATGTACGTATTCACAGAAGATGGTCGCCACCCAACTCACACCCAAGTACAATGGAAGGATATGTTTGAAATGTGGACAAAACGTGTATATTTTTTATCCACAGGTTATATCGCGCGAAAAGTGATTTTGTGGGAGCGGTATTACAGCGATAAAGTGCTTCGAATCCGTGCAAAACGAAAATTCGATAATAAATAAATGAGGTTAAGATCCTCGAAACTCAAGTGGTTGTTAGTGTGATGAGTTAGCAAATCAAACTATTTGTGACACGAAAAAAGTGAAAGCCGATTCAATGTGCAACTAAATTGAATCTGTGCTTTGACAATGTGGAAAAGTGTTTGATTTAAGAAATTTAATAGAAAATATGTGTGCCGAAGTTTAATTTGAGGCAATGGTTACACTAACAAACCACAGTGAGTGTAATGTAAAAGGTGACCAAGCAATTGTGTAGGTTAATATGTTGACAATCGAATATTGAAACAAGGAAGTATATTGATCTATAATGCACTAAAACCATAAAATCACTCGCGTGTTTTATTTAATTTTTTTTTGTATTTGCGCGAAATACCGTATTTGAGCACTATCACAAATCCACGTATATGTATGTATATGTGCAAAAAAGTGCAGAAATGTCAACCACGTACCTTTACTAATCCTTAAGATTTTGATTAATAATATGCAGATGGAGGCACAGTAAAAGTGGCTGGCTGTTATACGTGCTCCAGGTGAATCCAGCAAGTTTGTGTTTAGCGCCAGTAAAAGTGATATGTGCTCCAGGTGAATCTAGCAAGTTTGATGTGTGTTTAGTACTGCTCAAAGGCTGCTTTGCCATTTAGTAACCAGAGTTTTGATGCAGTGGACTGTATAGTAATGTGCTGGTTATTTTTTCCTCTCGGCGGAGATGGACCATGGAAACACTGACACATATGTGGCTCGCAATTCCAGCAGGGCATCAATGTTTTAATTTAGTGAAAAGAAAAGACAAGTTTGTTTGTTTAAATTAATAATTCCTTGCTATGTGTTTATTTGAAATGTGTTTGGTTTATTGCTAATTAATTACAATATTACCTTGTGTGAGATGAAGGGTGGTGGTTTATAGGCGTCCGTGCTCGATCGTAACAAAAATGGAATGACCGCGCTCTTTTATAAATGGTTTAGCGGAACCCTCAAACAGCGAACTGTATTGAGGGGGAAATAAGCTAATTTGTTTTATATTAAGTATTTGGAGGGAAATATAATGCAAAAGGGTGTTTGCGCATATTCGTATGCATGTACATATATGTGTATTTATGTGCGATTATATATTAGGGTGGTTCATCCTTTTAAAGTTTGGTTTAGGCTTATGGCCTAAACAAAT